GACATCAAGGCCCTGGATTTTGATGGCCAGGAAGCCCCTCGGAGCAATTACTGTAGGGGTCCCAAGCAGGTCCCCTTTTGTGCCCTCCACTGCCAGCCCGCCTGGTTCTCCCAGTTTCTTAGAGTTCCGCTGTAATCAGACCCTTACTGCCACCGGCTGGGGCCCTGAGGCTCCGAGAGGGCAAGCGTCGTGCGCAGGGAGCAGCCTCTCATCACCAGGCTTTGTCCCTCCCCTCAGGCACCCTCGGCCCGTGTCTGTCACCACAGCTCCTGGAGGGAGGTTTTGCCAGTGTCACTGTGGTGGCACCAAGCTGCCCCTCCGCCCACAGACACGCGGCTCCCTTGCAGAGCTGGAGTCAGTGGCCTTCCCCAGATCCAGCTGGTCTTTGTTGCTGGCAGAGGCACAGCTGGGTCAACTTCTCCAGCAGCCTCGCGGGGCAAGACCTGTCCTACCCCTCACCCGGCCCCCATTTCCCTCGGACACGTCAGTCAGGACAGACTCCTGGTGTCCTCCTGCATGTCTGAGTCAGCGGCAGCCACAGGAGAGGGTCTCCTACTTGTAGAAAAGGTGGGGAAAGAAGACCGACCAGCAGGTAACTCTGGCAGGGGCCTGGCATGCTTGCTTGGGGGCCTGTTTTAGCAGCTGCCAAGCTGCCCAGGAGGCCGCACAGTCTGCTGCCCAGTGTTCAGCCAGTCACACGCAGCAGTTCTAGAGCCTTGGGAGCCACACACTGACCGTGAAAGGCCCCTGAAGGCACTGGCCACAGAGCCTCAGGCAGGTCAGCTCTGCAGGGACCCCAGGACCTTCTTCAGAGATGTTGGGGAGCAGATGGGCTCACAGGTGAGCAGCAGAAGACCTGCAGCCCAAGGGTCCCGAGTTCGTGTCCGCTGGGTGAGAAGCCAACCTGGCCCGTGCAGATGCTGACCCAAGGCTGCTCCCCATGGTGGGCTCCCCGTGCCTGGGAAACTCACCAAGGGCTCCTCATCTGCCTCCCCCCATTGTGGTTAGGGGCTTATTTGCAAGGGGAACAATAGAATACAGGACACATATTTTATAAGGTTGCTTATAATAGTCACCCAAAGAATGCCTTTCAAGAGAGTACAGGAAATCTGTCCACACGCTAAGACCAAGGAATCCAGCTGAGGGCCTGGATCCCACAGAAATGTCTTGCATGAGTCCATCTGAAGACCTAGAGCTCATAACAGTGCCTCTCACAAGTCCAACTGGAGGCCTAGAGCCCATAACACTATCTCATGCAGGCCTGTTTTAGGGATCTGCACTGTGAAGGCCCAAAGGTCAGTGGTAGAATCGAGGAAGTCTGTGCCAGTGAGATGAAAGATCTATGCTAGCAGGCTGTGGGATCTATACTGGAGTCAGGAATCGATTCTTAAAATAAGAACCCCCAAAAGGGTACCACAGCCATCCTCAGCAACAGTGAGGTCCCAAGCACCTTCCATGGTCAGGTCAGCCAAGTTCCCATCAGGAAAGCCAACGCAGCAAGCTTCTCCAGGAGACTGAACAGTACATGATCTTCCCCTCCAGAGCCAGGAAGAGATGCTCAAAGTGAGGACCCGGCCAGGGATATAGCTCAGTGGCACAAGTGCCTGCCTGGCAAGCACAAGGTCCTGAGTTCAATTCCCAGTACAAAAAAAAACAAACAAACAAACAAAAAAAAAAAAACCAAAGTGAAGGTCAGAGCTCCCCTAAAGTGAACTAAAGCCATTTTCAGTGTGAACAAGGTCCCAAGCTCCTTGGAGGATGAGAACAGCCGAGTTCATCAGGAAAGCCAGCATGATGAGCTCCTCCAAAACAACAGCTCCTTATAGCTTCTCTCAGCTTCCAACAGGCTCCCAACACCTTTCACCAGCTCCCCACAGCCTTTCTCAGTTCCCAACAGCCTCCTTCTCCTTGTCCAGTTCTGCCTCGTATGCTGCTGGCAACAGTCCCCAAGAGGGCCTCCCACTCCCAGCGCCATACTTACTCAGTTCCACTGCGGGTTATAAGTTCACTACCAGCCGTCAGTCCCCCACACCCTCCTCTATGTCCCCGTCCCATCCTGTGTGTGTCAGACATGGCCGTGCGGGAGCCTCACTGTGTGCGCAGAGCCCAGCACTTTCCTTCCCTCCCAGCGCTCTGTTGGCCAAGTATGGCAGGTCTCACATCCTACAGAAAGGAAGACAGAGGGTGCACCTTGTCTAAACCTCCAGTGCCCCCCAAACAGATGGTCCTGGGCCCCTCTGAGCCACTCAGATGCACTTAGAAAGTGCATCCACTTGGAAAGCATACCAGGAGATGGGGGGCTGAGGCCTCCTCACCATCCATGCCTCCTTCCTTTGCTCAGCCACCTCTCCTGGTCCCACTCTGTGCTGGGAGCTGGAGGCACAGAGCTACAGTGGGGGGTAGAACCCACCCTGCTGAGTGCCCCTTGATCAAGCACAGCAGAGAGGGATGCACCAGAGAGAGTAGCTGGGCCCTGGGGAGCACTTGCCTGGTATAGACTGCAGAGCAGTCTAGGGTGGGCATGGGGGATGGAGGGTACAGTGGGTAACTCCCAGCTGGCACCCGACTCAGATGCCTGGGGACCGGTGATGCCTGCGCTTAGGGGAGGAAGGTAACTGGGGATGAGTTTGGGTTTGGGCCTGCTGCCTGAATAGGAATCTAGATTTTACCTGGTAGACCAGTTGTCCAGTGGTGATAGTCACACAAAAACCTGCAGGACCTGGCTGGGACTGGCCCTGAGAGTTCATGGAGCAGCCTTGTTCTCCTGCATATGCCCTGCATGCTCCCCACAGCCCCTGAGTCCTGCAACTCCCCAGCCAGGCCTGCTGGGAGCTTGCCCAAGGCCCTGGGAGGCGAGGCACCGCACCCGGCCAGGGCAGCAGCCCAACCTGGAAGAAGCCCTCTCTCCTGGGCCTGCTGCCAAACCAGGGCACCCAGGAGAAACCCTTGTGCCTAGAATGCCACCGGGAAACCCTGGCACTGGCACGGCTACAGGGCCAGGCAGAGCCCAAGTATCCCGCACTCGTGGGCCCTTTCCTGCCATGCCCCATACCTCAGCCGGAGACCCAAGGGCCCCAAAATTTTGTGGGTGAAAGGTGGATCTTCCTCCCACAAGCACTGGAGGCTGGTGGGCTCCTGCCCCCACTCCCTTGCCAGGATGGGTCAGAGGAGAGGACAGCACCTGAGGGTGCTGACCATCCCCCGACACGGGGCTCAGGTATCCTGCATGACCGCCTCCATCTCCCAGGCATGAGCAGCCCCACTCGGGGTGCCAGGGAGGACACCTGCCACCGTAGGTCTGAGGTGTTGGTGAGACCCAGAGTGTCGAGGTCAGGAGCAGCTGCCTGTGTGCTGGGTGCAGCTGTCTCGGGTCTTGGCCTGGAATGCGGGCCTCAAGGGGTTTCTGAAACCAATTCCCACGCAGGTGTGAAAAGCTGCTTCTTACCGGGATGCAGAACCCTGGCCTTGCCAAATCACCACAGCCCCTGGGTGACCCCGGCACAAACCCCAAACTCAAGATCTGTGTTGGGGGTGGGGCCACCGAGGGCCACGTCACGGGTGCGGGTCTCACCTCCGAACTCACGGCTGCAAAGTGTGGCATGATCTCACCTTCTCAAGTTTTGCTCAGCCATCCTGACCGCAAGCCCTCAGCCCAACAGACTGGCAGGAAATTCCTTCTTGACTCCTGCCGTGGCCCGCAGAGGCTTTAGGTCCTACCTGAGCCCTGCCCATTCGGACCAACCTCTTCTCTCATTGTTCCCTGAAGCCCACCCTGCTCCCCGCCCGGGCTCCCCTCATGAAAGCCCGGAAGCGCCTCTGACCCAGGGCTGCGTCTGCTTCGCTGCCTCATGCCAACCCCACATCAGAGGTGAACAGGGCCTGGCGCCCAGTCATAAGTGGGGGCTGGAGCCGGAAGCACTGCCCAGGAACCAGCCTGTCCAGCCCTGACTGGGCACCTCCGCGTCTCTCCGGGGTTGTGCTGGGGACTCTCGGGGGGTTGGAGGCTGACTTTGCAGGAATGAGCAATGTCTTGAACTGTCACACTCGACCCCTCTGCCCTCTGAACCTGCGCAGAGGCTGGCACACACTGGGTGCGCAAGACAGCCGGCGCTGGGAAGTGTCACTGTAGCCACGACACACAAGTTCTGCGCATCTTTCCCTCCAAGAAATGGGAGGTCAGGGCGGGTTGGACCGAGGGATGGGGAGGGAGGCAGTGCGGAGGACGGAAGGACAGTGTTGCAGGGGGCCCTGTGAGGAGGACAGGAAGCACTGGCATGGCCACAGCAAGGACTGGGACCTCACGGGGCAGCTCTGGGACACAGAATGCTGACTGCTTTCTTTAGCATCAGGGTCCCTCGGGCCTCGGGGACAGACGCAGGTGGAGGGCAAGAGCCAGGCAGGCCGCGACGGCGAAAGGCTTTGCTGGGTAGGCAGGGCCCGACCGTGCTGTGTGCCGGTGACCTGCAGCTCGTTAGCACAGGGGAGACGCGGGTTGCGATGTTGACGGCTGACGGGAGGAGAGGGTGGACGGCCTGGTGCCCAGCGGGAGCTGAATTTAAGCCTCTGAAGCACCTCAGCAGTGTCCACCCCAGCCCACTTTGTCAGTTGTCTTCCCGGAATCCTAACGGGCAGGCGTTTGTCACAGATTTTATGCAAGAACTTGCTGGGACCCTGGCCCAGCCTTATTTCTTCTCCTAAATCTGGAATTCTCTTGCCTCAAGCGCGCCCCAGGGAAGAGGAGAGGGGACTCAAAAATGAATAAGGGAATAGAGGATGGGATGGCCGCCAGGCGGGACAGTGGTGGTGAGGAGTGGGGGGTGGGAGTGAGGGCGGAAGTGAGGGGCTGCCCCTCCCCCGCTGGTCCCCAGCCTGGCCAGGCCCAGGCCCGGAAGTGTGGCCGAGGCCGGCGGAGCCTCCAGCCAGGTGGTGTGGGCGGTGGGCAGGCTGTGCCCGGCACACGGGCTTCTTTCTCACACAGCCGTCTTTGTCTTCCTGTCTAGGCCCCCCTGGAAGGCGAGGCAAGCCGGGAAGAAGAGGCGACCCTGGTGAGTCCTGGATTTTCTCAGCTCCTAAGCCTGGGCGGGAGGTTGCCCATCACCCCGGCTGTCTCTGGTTGTGCCCCGGGCCTGGCGCCGGTCCTCGTCCCCTCTCCAAGGCCGGCCACGGTCCCTGGAGGACACGGTGCCAGTGCCCACCCTTTCTTGGCTTCTGGGCTGCAGTTGCAGGACTGTCCCCAAGGTGCTCAGCCACCTCTGAAAGTGGTCACTCGGTCCCGGTCACTCACGCATCTCCTCTGTGGCCCGGCCCTGGTCTCCACCTTGGCCTCCTCAGCACACACACTCCCTGTCTGCTCAGGCCTCGCCGAACCCAGCCGCCTTCCTCCCTGGGCAGAGCCTTGGGGAGGAGGCTCCTCACCTCCCTTCCACCCTTCCTGCAAAGACTCGCCTGTCCCTGCTGCCACCGCCCACCCCTTCAGCTTACCCTAAGTGTCTCACTCTGCAGAGCCGCCCAGCCCCCAGTCTCAACAGCTGATCCCTAAGAGGCACCAACCGAGCTGGACATGGTGGCACATGCCTGTAAGCCCAGCAACCCGGGAGGCTGAGGCAGGACGCTCCCAAGTGGGAGACCAGCCTGGGCAATGTAGCAAGACTAGTCCCAAGATAAAAATAAGACAGCGCTGGGGGGTGTAACTCAGCACTCCCTGGGTTCCATGCTTGGTACAAAAAAGGCATCAAGCCCACCCCCACTGCCTTGCCTTCCTTCATCTATGCCCGTCTGACCTTGTCATGGGCAAAGTGACCGACAGCCTCCCATGGACGTACCAGAAAACACCTTGCTGCCTTTATCTTTCTTTCTGCCTTCGTCTTCCCTTTTTTTCTTTCTTTCTGTTACGTGCACAAGTCTACGGCCCCACCACCCTGAACATGCCTGATTCGTCTGTTATATGCACAAAATGCTACTTATTTGCTTAGCAGTGGGAAACTCTTCCTGGCACGCCCGCCCCGCGTTCCTTGCTCTTCCCTTGTGCTGGCGTTTGGGGAGAAGTGGCAGCCTGCGGATGGGGTTTAACACCCGCAGCTCCACGAGGGAGCAGAGTGTGAGTAAAAGGAGCGCTCTGACTCTGGTGACATCTCTGCGAAGTGTGTGCGCAAGGGAGAGCTTCCCCCCCTGAGGCCCAGAGTCCTGCTCTGGAGAGCGATGGGTTGGTGACGGACGCGGGGAGTCGGCTTCCCCGTGCCTCACGCTGCTCCAAGGAAGCGTCCAAGCTGTGTACCTCCGAGCTGCGGGTGCTGGGGGCGCCTTTATAGATCACCAGGACAGTGGAGGTTGCTGCCCCTTTCACGGAACTCTGTGCCTTTCTCCACCCTCCCACTGGGTCTCCCTGCCTGAGCAGCCTCCCTGCCGGAATCAGGGCCCAGCTCCCCACTGCGTCCCTGAGCCCCACTCCCACCCTCCCTGCCTCCTCAGTGAATCCGCCCTGCCCCAACCCTCCGCCCTGCTCCCGAGGTCTCTGCTGCCCTGGCACTGTCAGTGCCTGCCTCCCGCCTTCCTGGAGCACTGTCCCCTCATCTGGGTCCCCGAGAGCAGGCTCCGCCCGGCCCAAACACAGAGCCAGTGTCTCACCCAGACCCCTTCCCATCCTCCCCATCCCGGGGGCGATGCCGCCCTCACGTACCACGCAGACCACTGGCATCACCCGGGCCTAGCCCTTCCCCACGCAGGTCCCCCGGGAGTCCGTGCCACTTCCACGGTCCTCGTGGCCACCCCCATCGCCTGTCCTGCACCCACCTGTTGCCCAGCGTTCACTCCAGGCCTCCCCTGCCCGGAATACCCCCTCTGTGGGTGGACAAACACTCCAAGCTCACTTCAGTCGCCCTCGGCATCAAGCTAAGCAGCTGCTCCTGGGAGCTTCCGCCACCCCTGGGGTTCCGGCGGCCTGCGCACAAATGCGGAATCCCTGCATCACAGCAACCTGGAGGTGGGCATGGTCGGCCTCGAGGGCACCGGGACCCGCCACCCGCAGGACCACAGGCCAGCCACTGCAGGGGCAGGCGTGGTGCTTGCTCCTGCCCAGCACAAGTTCACGTTGCTCAGGGAGAGCCTCTGGAAAAAGGAGCACCGCAGGAAGCACCTTTGCGCTTCTCTTTCTTGTCTCGACTTCCAGAAGCGGAGGCTGTTTTACGATCAGCTGAGAGCACCTCCTCTAGCCTGAATTCTGTGTGGAATCTCCCCCACTGTGTCTCCACCCTGCCGAATACACGCTTCCTCCTTCAGTCCTCACTATCCACCCTCGTAAAAGATTTTATTGCCTTTTGTTATAAGCTCCCTGACATCCTTTTTGGAAGGAAATCAGGAATACATAGTCACTTCTTTAAGGGCAAGGTATAATACTGTTCAGTGTACTTGAAACCCATTGGGAAGGCAGCCACAGATCTAAACAGACATTGCTCAAAAGAAGAGGCCAGGAGGCATACGTACGTAAAAAAGCTCAACTCACTGATCAGGAAGATGCAACCCAAACCCACAGCAAGCAGTCCCTGCGCCCCAGCCGGAATGCCCGTCCTCGGAAAGAGTACCAATAACAAGTGCTGGCAAGGATGGGGGGAAGGGAGCCCTCGTGCATGGTACAGCTGTTACGGAAAGCACTTTGAGGTTCCTCAAAAATTTTAAAATAGAATTATGACCCAGCAATCCCACCGCCAGTGCGTATCCGAAGGAAACGCAATAAGACATCAAAGAGACTTCCGCACTCCCCCAGTACCCAAAATAAAAAAAAAAGGTAGACCGAATTTTACCAAACTGAAACTAAAACATCTAGGTTCAACCATAGATGTGAACTTTCAGAAGAAAGAACTGAGAGACAGCTTGATAGTGATTATGTACTCAGCAGAGAGAGAAAATAAAGAAAAGTAGCCTCAGGAATGGACGACACCAGCGTTCAGAGAACAGAGTTACCAAAAGGACAAAACAGCAGGAAAATGTTGAGGAAAGATGGATGAAAGCTTCCTGAATTTGCTGGAAATGATTACTGTCCATTTCCAGGAAGTCGAGAGGGCGCCGAGCAGGACAAGTGAAAAGGCCCAGGGAGAGGGGCAGGCCAGGGAGAGCGCTGGAAATCAAGACCAAGGACAAACCCGGGAGCAGCAAGAGGGGAACCACCTGCCCGCGGCACCAGGGCTGCGTGAGCCCCGCGGCGTCCCGCGGAGTCCAGGGAGCCGTGGACGGCCACTCGCTCACTCCGGCACCCAGCGCGCTGCCTTCCAGGAACCAAGGCAGGTGCAGCCGTGTCAGACCGCGGCTCCCCCAGTCTGTGACTGCGTTGAGCTCACGGTGCACTCCCTTTCCCGGGTGACGTCTAAGGTCAGCTGACCCTCAGCCTAAGCCACCGCAGATGCAGGACCGTGATCTGAGCACGCACACCCCTTTCCCCCGTATTCACCGAACAGTGCGTTTTCCATTGCCATCAGCTGGACGCCATCACTCTCAAGGAGACTGAAGGTGAAGCGGGTGCCGTGCCTCGGCAGAGACTGCGCCATCTGACACAGGGGCATCAGCACCCTGGGCTTCGTCTCTGTGGCATCCTGGCTGTCCCTGTCAGGAACCAGGGACAGCTGTGCCTCAGTCACACCTGGACCAGGAGGTCCTTCCACCGCATCCCAGCTGTGACCACACAGGAGCCCAGGCGGGGGCATGAAGCACGGTAGCCAGGTGCCAGGCGCAGGGCTTTGGAGACCTGAGGATGTGACTGTCGCCCGACAATGCCGCAGTGCTGCCATCCTGCCCGGGTGCTGCCTGGAGGCCAAGCCAGGGATCTGAGGGCTCACAGGGCTGCTTCCGGCCTGTATTCACACGCGTGTACACACATGCACGCACACAGTGACCTCGGGGAAGTTCAGCACGCTCAGAGCACTTCCTGCCAAACCTGCTTCTCTCCGCCCTCTATTAGGCTCAAGGTCGACCTGCTGGGCTCTGCCCGGGTCAGAGGCCGATGCCACCCCCAGGAGGTTTCTGAGCCTCAGTTTGGGCTCCTGTGAGGTATACTTCGTGAGGGTGCAGCTGGGGCTCGGGAAGCTGGCACCGAGCTCCCAGGGCACGGGCAGGGACTCAGCACCGAGGGACCTTACTCTTCGAGCTCGAGCACACACACACACACACACAAACACACACACACACACACCCCTCCTCACCCTGCACCTCCTCACGTTGCCCTCCATTTTCAGTACTGCAGGCTCTGGGCTGTGCCGTCAGGACCCTGGGCTCCCAGAATAAGCCGAGTATGCAGACAGCAAGAGCTGTGAGGACAGACAGACGAGGGGTTTTTCTGCCCACGTTCAAGTTCATGTACTGATTTTCTGACGGACCTTGCCGTATGTATGCATCCAGCGGGGGAGAAGAGTGCAGGGTGGAGGTCAGGCCTCCCTGCCTCTCCCGTCCCCCAGCTGCTCGGCTCCGGGCTCAGGAGCAGCCTTCCTAACCACCTTCTGTGTCCACAGCTAGAGATATTCCACTATCTGCCAAACAAAACCTACAGATTTTTAGTATGAAGCACTTCATAGTATGTATATCATGTCACACCTGTTTAAAAACCTAACAAACCACTGAGACATTGTCAGGAACTGCATCTTTTATGGCTGCATAATATTCCAGTTACACGATATCATTCTTCATTTAAGCTGCGCCCGTGCTGTTTCTAATGGTGTTGCTATCTCGCGGTTCTTCAGTGAATGTTCTTCTATACTTGGCCTTGTACATGTACAAGAATAAATTTCTAGGGGGCAACTGTTATGGCGATTGGTATGAGCATCTGAAATCTCTTTTTTTTTTTTTTTTTTGGAGGGCCAAGGCTAGAATCCGAGGTCCGTGCATGCTAGGCAAGCACTGCCCTGAGCTACACTGCAGCCCTACATCTTCAATACTGCAGTGACGAGGATCCCGAGCCATGCTCTGGAGGAGAGGCCAGCTGGTCTCCCACACGTGTGTGAGCTGAGCGTCCTCCTTGCCGTGCCCCTGGTTGTTCATCAGATGTTTCTCACTTTTCCTAATCTGACGCCGCTGCAGCTTAACCTTCATTTCTGTTATGAACAAGGACTGGACGTTGTACTGTTCAAGCTGCTTGCCTTTCCCACCCTGTGAACCCTCCCTCTGTACCGCGGCCATGTTTCCCGCAGGCTGCTGATGTGAGCAGTGACTGTTCCTCCCTGACAACGTGGACGGCCTGTGGCAGTGTTTCCACACCCGCCGCCAGGCTCCCAACTCCTGCGGGTGAGGCTGTCGCTTTGCTTCGGGGTCTGTGTAACTGGAACAGACTATTTTTTTGGCACCAGGAATCAAACTCACACCATTGCACTTGCCAGGCAGGTGCTGTGCTGCTGAGCTACATCCCCGGCCCAGACTTTCTTTATGAACACAGAGGAAGGCCTTCTCAGGGGTTAGAGAGGAATTTTCCGCTTTTCCTCTAGGAGTTCACGATTTTTTTAACTTGAAGAGCTCTGGCCCAGGTTCGTGCTGACGTGCAGGCCGAACATCGCTTATTCTTGGGAAGGACCAGGTTTCCTGCTGCCCCAAGGGAGGACCGAGCGTCCACCTCGTCTGAGGACAGCGTTCGCAGCAGGCGGAGTGGCATGGCAGGTGGAGTGAGACGCCCTTCTGCCCGGAGACGGGGTGGCAGCGGAGTCGCCCTGTCTGGAGCAGGTCTGGTCTCGCGTGCCTGTGTCTCCAGCCCCCGGCGCAGCCCCCTCCCCAGCGTGACCTGGGGCTCAGTCCTGCTGGCCCTCCTTCCTTCTCGGGCGTTTCCTCCTTGAGGTGTTTTCCCCGCGGTGGCGGACAGTGGCTGTGCAGGTTGCCGGAGTCCGCTGTGTGTTCCAGTCACGCTGGGGTAATGAACACACCAGTCACCGCCAACATTGGTCATTTCTGGGAGCAACGTCCAAAATCCTCTCCTCTGGCTGTTTTGAAAGAGACAACAGGTTGTTGTCTCCTGTAGCGTCCTGCGCGCTGTAGACTTCACCCGCCTGACCACGTGGACCCGGCCCTGTCTGTTCCCCGCCGCCCCACCGCCGTCCCTGGAGTCCGGGTGGCCACAGAGACGCCCTCTGCGTGCTGCCTCAGGGTCCGGCCCCTCTCCTGTCTTCGCTCCCCTGTCCCCGATGCATAGTCCTCCCGCACATGGCCCGCCGCCCCAGCAGGAACACCACTCCCTTGAGCTTCTGCCAGACGCTGCCTCGGGACGCGCCCATCCTGAGCCCTCACCGGGCATTGCAGCTGCCCACCCACACCCACCCTCTTCTCCACGGCACCCTCCCGCCCCCAGGCGGGCCCTGTCTCTTCCGCTCTCTCTCCTGTCTGTCTCCCCGCGGGAAGGAAGCTCTGTGAGGTCTCTGTTATCCTCGAAGCTGAACTCCAGGGCCCAGAGCAGTGCTGGGCAGAGAGCAAGTGCTCGGGAGCCTCCGGGCCACGCGGGAGCTCAGCGAAGAAGCTGGGCCGCTGTCAGTCCCTGGCTCTTGCAGGGCTCGGGTTTTGGTGTGGAGGGAGATCAGGAAGTGGATTCCAGAGCACGGAACAGTGGGCTACGCACAGTGACGCACACCCCATAGTGCAGCTACTCTGGAGGCTGAAGCAGGAGGATCACTTGAGCCCAGGAGTTCAAGACCAGTCTGAGCAACAGAACAAGGCCCCATCTCAAGGAAAAGGAGGGGCGGAGAGATGATAGCTGCAAGGGTAGATTAGGGAGG